TTTGGTTGAAATATTCCTTTAACTTAGACATTATATAATGAGCTTGTCTATTATTTATTTTGCTTTATCAGAGTTCCTTTAATAACCCTGAGTGGTTCTACCGTCATGTTGACATGCATGCACACTGCACTGAGCTCCAGCCCCTTCCTGATCGACAGCAGGCTCTCTTCTGCAGCTGGTCAGGTAGGCGCTGAAAGCAGGAATGTTTCACCAGTGTTTAAAATGTTCCTATGTGAAACATTTTTGCTCTTTTTGCAGGCTGTGATGCTTTCTTTAAAATCAAGTACCGCCTACGTGAGCATCTGCGCAGTCATACACAGGAGCGGCTGGTCGCTTGCCCCACCTGTGGCTGTATGTTCTCCAGCAATACTAAGTTCTTTGACCATATCCAGAGACAAGCAGAACCAGAAGGTCAGTTTATTTAGGATCGTTTCTCTTCACTCGCTGACAATATAGCAACTCTGATGTTTAAGAATGTCCATTAAATATCACTTAAGTATGTAGTTTTATAAAGACATTTTATTACAGACTCTCTTACATGTGGACACTGTGACAAAGCATTTGCCAGTGAGAGGCTGCTGAGAGACCATGTTCGTCAGCATGGTGAGTTAAAGCTTGATAAGTAATTTAAACTTTTGAGACGGGGATAGACAATATATCAATACCATATCAGTTACTGGCTGACATTAGAGATTTAAAGGGGTCTTGAACTGCATTTCTAAAAAAACCCAAATTTTTTTTTGCATTTTAATGCATTTTTTAAGAGGTGCGCTTATAATGTTACTATTATTTTTACATAAAAAATTGTCAGAATTTTCAAATAAAGGCATTTTCTGCCCAGATTTTAGCCCTCTGATTTGAAAGCTCTGTTGGAAGTGTGTATGGGTGTGTCTGCTGTGAGACTTCAATGGAAACGCCCATTGCTATGATTGGCTGCCATACAAAATAAGTATTACATGTGGAACTCTCTCTAAAACCTTTACTACATTTTTACTATTACAGCTGTTGAGATTAACTAATCATGAAAAGTGTTGATTATAGCATTATATTTAGATCTACTCCCGTCACATGAAAGGTTCATTGTAGTAGATGAAAGACTGTTGAGCGCATGAATGCAGCGATCTTGTTATTGCAACATGAGATTTGCGCTTTCACGGATGCTTTTATCATAACTACCAGTGCAAACATGATGTAAATAAGAGATTCATTGTGCAGTGTAGACTGCACATAAATTGATAATAAATTTGCGCTGTGTGATTGACCGCTCCAGCGATTATAAAGGGAGCATTCTTTGATCTTTTCCGTATATAATTTAAATTTAAATAACATTATTTTCATGCTACTAAGAGAAACGATGTGTAGTAGTCACTGGCTTGATTTGCTGATGCATAAACAGCAATAAATGATCTTGAGACGAAGAACATCTGACTGTACATGAATCATTACATATAAGAAATCACTGATCGCAGATTAAGCATTAGAATGAACACAGTTACTTACATGTTGTGGTAATCCTGTTGGATCGGTGTCTTACAGTAAAAGTCTGTTTGCAAAGCCTGCGCCGAAACTGCGACTGATTTACCAAAGAATCTTCAGTGAAATGTACCGAACAAACAAATAATGCTCTACTGAGACATCCACATAGTTGAAAATAAATAAGCACTTTCCGAATCCTAGGATTAAAATCCTTTGGAAGGTAATGTTATTTTTAGTCTGGTGAACCTGTATTGCTCTTCTCTCCTTATCTCACTAACACTCCAGTGGGTGGGACCAAAGGCGCAATGATCTGATTCTGCAGCGGTGGTCTTTCGCTGCACTATTATGTCATAAAGTGGCAAAATCTGAAACAAGTCATTTTCTGAGCTTGGTTTCAATAAAAGCTGTTTTTGAACTGACGAGGAAGTTTTGAGTTCTAAAACTTACAGGAAGTTTTTATAGTACAACGACCTCAAAAGATCAAGGAAAATTGGATTTCTCAATTCATGACCCCTTTAAATTCATTGGATATGAAATTGTGCATGCACATTTCCTGATTTTACATTTACATTACATTATAATATAATTTACATTGTACATTATAATGTAATTCTAAAATATAGATTTTAGTTTTAATGTTATATATATATATATATATATATATATTTTAGGCAAAATAGTATGGAATTTTAATATCAGCTATAGCATGAAAATAATTTATCAGCTTATGATTATTAGCCAGAATGTCATGCATCCCTAAATTTAGGATGATTTATATAAAAAAAAAAGACCTCTTCTGAAAAATAGTATTGTTCTTTATAGATGCTTTGTATGTCATGTCATATTTATTTATATACTGCTTTATTCAGTACGGATTGTTTCAAAGCAGCTTCACAGTAATGAACACGAAAATAACAGTATTTTTTGATTATTTTATTAATGGTTTTAAAGTATTGTTAAACACGGAAAGAAATAAAAAAGTACAGATGAACTGCAAAAGCTAAAAACACAAACAACAAAACAGCTGAACTGCCTCACTAATGAATAGTTGAATTATTGAATATTATTGAAAATACTAAAGATAGACACACAAAAAAGAATTGCTTTATAACCCAGATTGAAAATAACAGTATTAATAGTGTTTATTCAGCTCAGTTTAGTTTTGTTTACATTCAGTAGTGTCAGTGCATTCTAATTGATAATATTACAGAAAATTAAGTGTAATTTAAGTGTTGTTTTTTTTTTGCAGTGAATCATATAAAATGTCCTCTCTGTGACATGACATGCACGTCCCTTTACACCCTGAAGATCCACATCAAATTCCGTCACTGCGATGAGAGGCCCTTCCCATGTGACTTCTGTGGGAGCAGGTGGCTGCCCAGAGTTTGCACACTGCCCACATACACTCAATGAAGTACTGAAGAATACATTTCTTACATTGAATGGTTTGTCTCCTTACTTTAGCTTCAAGAACCAGCACGATCTGCGGAGACACATGGAAACACACAATGAGGGAGCAGCGTACCGCTGCACAGAAGAGGGCTGTGGATACTCTTCACGCATGGCACACACCATGAACCAGCACTATAATCGAGTACATGAGGTCAGCCAGCAGAGGGTGCTATAACCTCAGACAAGTTTCATTTTTAAAAGAACGTTTTTGAGCTCTGCTTACAGCATCTGATTCAAAATGTTGATTATTACAGGAAATCATTTTGGCACATCCATACCGAACTATGAAACTAGTGTGATAGTGTTTACTGACCTTGTTTGTGCAAAGACTGAATTGTGTCGGTAACAAATAACCAGATGTTTATTTTTTTTGTAATCTTCCAAGTTTATGCACTTGTACAGCTCAAATCAAAATCTTTTCTACTGATTAATTTTAGTGCTTTAATAATAAGCTTTGCAATTCTGCTTTTTTTTTGCCTTACTGACCTTTTCATTCATTTATATATATATTTTTATTTTTAAAAATTATTCATTTGTTTACATTTTTTTGTGTTGATGTGTTCAATTATGTTAATCATCTTTTACACATACACAGATTTTAGATTTTATTTTGAGTAATATTTTTTATGGTTTTCCTTTTCTTTTTACCATAAAATAACGTATGATATCTCTCTGCAACAGGACAACATGGTTCCGAGGTATAAGTGTCACCTTTGTGACAAGACCTTCTCTTGGTGTTACACTCTCACCCTTCACCTTCGAAAGAAGCATCAACTCAAATGGCCATCTGGACACTCCCGTTTTAGGTGTGCAATTAATAGTATCTTAAAGTGTATTTAGTTGCTTCTGAGCTAATCATTTGCCTTTGTGTACTAAAAATTGCCTATTGAACAGGTACAAGAAGGATGAGGATGGGTATCTGCGGCTCAACATGGTGCGTTTTGAGACTGTAGAGGTTACAGAAGAGTTGATTAAAAACATGGCTGAAAAACGCACCCCTCGCAAGGTCTCTGGTTCAACCAGTCACTCCAAGGAGCCCATGCTGCATCCCGACAGCGGCAATAGCACTCCCCAGCACTCTTCCTCACCCTCCTCTCCTTCCTCATCTTCCTCAACCTCAGAGCTCCTGGAGGGTACTGACAGCAGTGGATTAAAAGGTGATGAAACATCTGTGTATTGTGTGTTGAACACTGTGACTGAGGTCAGTGGGGATCCAGAGGAAGCGGCCCAGCCCGGTGGGCCATCAGGGGCTGTTAGAGCTCTGGCTGCAGTGGCTAGAGGTCTAGGAATGGATGTGGTATAATCTCATACCTATCAAATGCAGTTTCATCAGAGATAACCTGTGTGAGAATATGCTAATATTTCCACATAGTGAGGTAGATATGTGGGGGCGTGTTAGAACGAGCCGTTTTAGGGGGGTGTGGCAGAGTCTTAACTTTGATAAAGAATATCTCTTTGGTTTTGAGACTTTAGTCTGCAACTTCAGGGATCTTATCTAAGCACAATCAGCTTGTAACACTCCAAAGAGAAAGGAAAACTTGAAATCGCATCATATGACCCCTTTAAACATTTTCCATTAGATCAATGTTTTTATAAACTAAAATGCAAAGTTTAGAGGATGATGTATGGCATCATCTTTTTTTTTAGCATTTTGCTAGTGTTTTATTTTAGGTTTTTACATGATCTCAGGTGTCTAATACATTTGTAAATTTTTTTTCTGAAAAACAGTATCACTCTGCAAGTTTTTTTTTTTAATTTTACAAAAAATTTACCTTTGATATTTCTAGCTCTGTGTTTTAAAAAATTGACTTTTGCTTTTATTTTTATAATGACCAGGAACAATAGGATGAGTTTTCGAGCGTAAATAGCTATCATCTAATTAATTTGTGTTGATATTTATTGAATATTTTGTGTATTGTGCTGTATTATTGTTCCATTGTTTCCTTGCTATAGTTGTAAATAGTTGTGTATTATTTAAAGTCCTTTAGTTTCAAATATATTGTTAACATTCAAAAAGAACAAGTAAAGTCATTTTTTCTCAGAAGTCATTTTAATATTTTTGTTTTTGGACAAAAAAATAATAATTTCCACCACTGTACATTTCATGACTACACATTGTTTCACATGAAGTGCTTGATATACAGGAGTCCATCAGATTCTGATGAAGTCCAGTTCACCGAGTTTCAGTGTGGGTGCGAAACAGGTCTGTCTGTGAGAGGGGTCATCCGTCTCGGAGACCCTGGATGTGCTGCCAGCATTGGGAAAAGTGGGTGTGGCTGAGCGTGTACGTAAGCAGCAGGTAGAGTCCTACTGAGCGAGCTGTAATGTGGGAGCCCTGTGCAGGGGTAAGCTGCCGTGAGGAGTCCTGGAGGCGGTAAGTGAGGATCCAGTGCAGTATGATGCAAAGTCAGTAGGCGGCTACGCTCGCTCTCTTCTCTCAGGAAGGCCAGGCGTTGCCGTTCCTCCATTTGACTCCTTTGCTCCAGGACCATGGACTGCAGAAATGGCTCTCGTAGGTAAGCAGGGTGTCCCATCATGGCACGTTGCAGGGGGTCGGTTCTTATTAAGAGGTCCTTGCCCAAGGAGTCCCTACGAGGAAGATCTAAACCCCGGTAAACATTCCGCATAGACTCCCAGTGTTGAGGCGAGTAAGGCAGCCTTTCGGCACCAGGTAGTGGACCCATTCCCAGAAAAGGTGAAACCAGCCTAGTTCTGTCAAGACCAGGGTGGCCAGCTGGGATTCCTATTGGCAAAGGAAGAGTTGAAAGAGGTGAAGGGTTAATAGCAGGGGCTCTGGGATCCTGCCATGTTTTTTCTGAAACTTTATGGTGTGTTGTAACCTCATGGTCCTGGTCGTCTCTCTTCTCCTCCTTCACTCTCACCTTGCTGCTTTTGGCATGGGGTTCATACTCTACTCTAATCTTCTTCTCAGCTGGCTCCCAGGGTTGGCTATCACTGTTTGGCCGTTTGAGATCCTCTCTCTGCTGCTTGGGTGATGAACTCTCCTTTCCTGCTGGCTTGTCATCGGTGGGCTGCTGCTTGCTTTTCACATCCTTTTCTCTTCTGTCACTTTGGATCTCTTTGTGTTTTTGCTCCTCAGTTTCTCGAGTTTGTTGTGGAAGCTCTTGGACTTGTCTTTTCTCTCTTGCCTGGTCCTCTTCCTTGGGCTCATTTGGAGAGGAACTTTTCAAGGATTCTGTTGGTTGTTTGTTGTCCAGTGCACTATTTCTGATGGGGGACAAATGCCGTCCATTTGATTTATCTTTTGGTTCCCTGCAATGATTGAAAGAAAACATTATCTATTTGAACTCTTGATCAGGAGGTCAACTCCAAGAATTCTTGATCAGGTAGGTTATCTAGGACCAGGTGTCTCCAGTCCTGCTCATGGAAGCTAATGTCCTGTGGAGTTTATCTCCAACCTGCCCCAAACTGACCTGCCTAGAGGTTCCTTGGGTAATCCTGAAGACCTTAATTAGCTGGTTTAGGTGTTTAATTGGGACTTAAGCCAAACTCTGCAGGACAGTGGTCCTTCAGGAGCAGGATTGGACACCCCTGGCTTAGGCAGTTAGCCCCTGCTAAACTGTTATGTGGGCAAATAAATAAATAATTGCAGAAAGTAATCCGTTAGCATTTCCAACTGTTCAATAACAGTTGCTCGGCTAGTGCAGGACTCCTTGGAAGTGGAAGTACCCAATTTGAAAATCTTTCCAGAACTAAGTGCTCATGAAGCAAATATGGCAGCAACCTGGTCACAGACTTTTGGGGATGCACATGCTGACTGAGCAACTGTCATTGAGATGAAGGGAAATGTTAATGTATCACATTCTGCATGTACCTTCTTGCTCTTGACAGACTAGCAAAATAGCTGGTACGTACCTTTCCTCGTCATCTTTGTTCTCTAGGGAATCTCTCTTATTTGCTGCTCTGTCCGGTATGGAGGGAGCTCTCTCGGTTTCAGAAGGCCTTGAACACAAAGAGGGCGTCGGGAAGGATGAGGGCGTCTGGTGCAGTCTGTTCCAGGGCTCTAGTGGTCCACTTGAAGTTGGCACCGTTTTACCATCTTTAGTCCCATGTGCTGCATTTGGTGCTGTGAATGTAATTATCGTCAGTCAGAGGAAGATTACATTTTTTAACCTACAGTAGAAGCAGATCCTTTCATGACAGGATAAATGATGTCCTTACTTAGTGATGGGTTTCCTAGTCCTCCAAAGGCAGATGAACTCAGTGTACTTAGGCCTCCAAAGGTGAGTGGCTTATTAAGAGACTCTACACAACAACAAGGAATACGTGAGTTTAGTAAGCTTTTTGAGCAATAATGTGGATCTAATATGAACTGAATTCTGAAGTCAGATTTAATCTTACCATGATGGGGGACTACACTGTGGAGATTGTTTGGGGTGTGCGGTAAGGATCCATAGGGCGAAACTGAAGGGTGTGTGGGACCTAACAAGACACGCAGATACTGGTGAGCACAGTCCTGTTTCTGCCAGACTTCCTCTTATAAAGCTTATAAAATTGATGTTTTATATAATCAGAGGACACTGCTCACTGATATCATGGGCATTCATTAATGTTGACACTGACAGTAGTACACTCTAAAAAATGCTGGGTTGTTTCAACCCAACTTTGGGTCAAATATGGACTAACCCAACTTTTGGGTTAAAAATGTTATGTAAAAATGTAACCCAACAGTTGGGTTAGTCCATATTTGACCCAAAGTTGGGTTGAAACAACCCAGCATTTTTTAGAGTGTACCTAACCCTAACCCAGTCCTGTTCCTGGATGGCCAGCGTCCTGCAGAATATAGCTCCAACCTGCCCTAAAATACCTGGAAGTAATCCTTCAAGTAATCCTGAAGTCTTTGATTAACTAGTTGAGATGTTTAATTATGGCTGGAGCTGAACTCTGTAGGACATTGGCCCTCTAGCAGGAGGACTGGACTACCTTAAAATCAATGGAAAGGAGCAGGTTGATAAGAATATACCTAGTGTTAAGCCATAACTGTATAATCTAATTGGTTGATGGGATGTTGTTCTAGGACCAACAACTTGGTGATCCAGGAACATCCTATTTGGCTAAATTACAGTCACTAGTGTGGATTTGATCCATGCTGTAATTCCTACCTGCATTAGAGAGTATGGTGGAGGGGCGGGGTAAATCACGTGGCTGCAATCCCATGAAGCTTGAGCCAGGCGATCGGTTCAGAAACTCAGGCTTAAACCCAAAGTCTAATTTATGTGGCTCAATCTGCATCTGCTTCTGTAACCCAAGAAATAGAAAATGGTTACAGATAACTTGTCCAAAACTAGATATATTTCACATCTTGAAAAAAAACAATCATTTATTTTGCGCTTACCTTAATTTTTTGCTGATGATGGTAAAGTTGCCATGCAATGTGGACATGCATTGCACACCACTTCCCAGGTTTCTGAGGAAAATGTAAAAAATAATGAATGATGGGTAAAGAATTGAGTTTCTGATTTACAAGTTTAATAAAAAGGAGTTGAATAATCACATGCAAACCTTACCTTTGGTTTAGGACACATGGGGTCAAGAAGCTAAAAAAAAGAAGACAAAAATACATTACATTATCCTTCTTATATTTCTTCAATGATATACAGAACAGCTGTAAATATTTCTTAGACCTGTATGGCTCAGATTTTGACCCATTAGAGAAAAGCCTTGCAACTGACGCTAAATTGAAACTTACTCTGGAGTCCTTCTGTAAAAGTTGGTGTGCCACTGATCCTGGTCTTGACACCACGTCTAGTGGGTTGGAAGCCTGCAAATACAAAATTTGTGAATACTGCGTCCATATATATTTAAATTATTCTCATGACTACAAATCCATAAGATGCCCTGTTCTTCCTCAGTACACATTCTCTCTTATATAAGTAATTAAGTGTGGCTAGTCCAACCCTTTTCTTATTTTTTCTGCTCTTTCTTTGTGGGAGGTTCTTCTCAACTCAAGAAAAATCAAGTTATTCACAGGCTTCTATCAGTGTTGTCAAGGCCTTTTAAGAATGCTGCGTTTTGAACAAAACAGGTGGAACTCTGTGCGCAGGTAGGCCGGGGGAGCTAGAGCGCCTCCTCGATCGACAGTCTGGGAGGCCAGGAACCGAGAGTTTAACTCCTGACGCAGTAGGTCATGATCTAAAGGGAGCGCGACAGAGCGAATCAGAGCACAGCTAGCAAATATGTGATTTATTTTTTCAGTCCATTTGGTGCTGCTGTACCTGTGTAGGGAGCTGTTGATGGTGCACTGGGCGCCTCCTCGATCGACAGTCTGGGAGGCCAGGAAGCGAGAGTTTAACTCTTGCCGCAGTAGGTCATGATCTAAGGGGCACACGACAGAGCGAATCAGAGCACAGCTAGCAGATATGTGATTAATTTTTTCAGTCCGTATGGTGCTGCTGTACCTGTGTAAGGAGCTGTTGCTGGCGCGCCGGGCACTGGCAGAGCACTTCCTGTTAAGAGGGGAGGAGGAGGAGGCAGGGCTGTCGTCGGGGCAAACATGGTGAGGTGCTCTTCTTTACTTGTGCTGATGCACTCTCAAGTGCACAAAAGTGACTACAAACAGCTTTTTCCTTCAGGCTTCCTTCAATCTTTCTTGGGTTCTAAATGTCTCCTCCTTGTGGCATGGTGCTCAGTGTTTTCTGCTCTCGCATTTGTGGTATTAGCAACATCAGCAAGACCTGCAGGTCAAAAAAATATTGAGTCAACACACGTTATATTAGGCCAGATGATAATTCGAGAATCATCATACCAAACACAGTGATTCAGTCACTTTGAGTACAAGATTACGTTGCTAGCCTTGGCAGAACTCACTGTCATAATGCTACACTCTGTGCCCACTTCAATCTGTGAAGTCATGACAAGTTTTTACCTGTTTTATCATTTAAAATTTGAACATTGTTCGTTTGATTACTTGATGGGTTTAATTAAAGAGTATACTATACATTTACTGGAGCTCACGGTAGGTCTGTAAATGTTTATAAAAATGAAAGAAAAAAAAAATGTTTTTACTAAAAGTCCCTTATGAAAAAAAATGAATGCAATTTTAACTTCTGGTACCCAACTTTTGTGCTCAATTCCTGATTAAAATGAACTCCTCTCTTAAATTTTTTCTTGCTGAATATCCTGTTTCAGTAATAAATATGCCACATTATAGAAGAAAAATGGGTTACAGTTCACACCGACATTAATAAGCATTCTTGGACTATTACCTCACACATTTATGAGCAATGATTAAACTGCATAAACTAATTGAAGTAATAGTACTAACCAAAAATCTGAAAAATTAACATACAATACCACTCAAAATGTAGGGCCAGTAAGATTTAAAAAAAATACTTTTTTCAGTAATGATGCATTAAATTGATCAAAAGTGACACTTTTATAATACTACAAAATATTTGTTTTAAATAAATGCTGTTCTTTTGAACTTTATATTTATCAAAGAATTCTGAAAAAAAAAGTAGCAAAAAAATTTTCAACAGTGATAAGAAATGTTTCTTGAGCAGCAAATCAGCATATTAGAATGATTTCTGAAGGACACTGAAGACTGGAGTAATGATGCTGAAAATTCAGCTTTACCATCACAGAAATAAAATACTGTTATTTTAAAAACAGTTATTTTAAATTCTAATAATATTTCTCTTTTTACTTTAGTGAGCATTAGAGAATTCACTCAAGAGCATTTTAAAAAAATCTTACTGGCCCAAAACTTTAGAACAGGAGTGTATTAACAGTGGCACAGCACACACAATGCTGCAGTTATTGTGTCAAAGCAAAGACAACAGTGTAAAATGAGGGAAGCAGATCTTAAAAATAAACAGAGTAGGATATCTCTATTTTTACAGCATTAGCCCTTTCATGACTGCCATACCGCAGATGATGTTTTGGTTTCACCGTGACATTTACTGATCCCTCCCAGGGGGGGCGCTAATAGTGAATGCAAATGTGATGAAGGGGTGAAATCCCTTAGGGATTCACCCATCTATACAACCTGCAATTACCTCCTTTTGAACAGCACTCATGCACATAAAGCAAAGCAGTAAATCTCTTTTGTGTAGAGCTGTCAATTTGGGCCTTTTCTCCAGTGCTGCTGGATCTATAGTGAAAGGTCTTTTGAGAGCCCCATAATGGATTGCTAGCTTCTCCGAGGGGTTAGACCTCCTTTCGCGAACACCAGGGGTCCACGGAGGAGGGAAACACAAGGAGCAACTTATTCGACCTGAACTGAGCTCCAAATCCCTTGTGATGAGCTGTTTGTATTGAACAGGATGACACAGCCGCAGGGGTCATTCAAACGCTGGGAACAGTAAATGTGTGTGGAGAAACGGACTAAACATGAATCCCAAAAAGTTTAAAGGTGCTTGCAGAATGCAATACTTCATAAACTTCCAGATCCGTAATGAGATGAATGCTGGCGGAGACCATAAGTCTCCAGAGAGGAGAACAGACTAGTCGGTAATGAGTGCTACAGGCCACATGACAACTCAATAGCTGGACTGGCTACAGACTAATTGAGTAAAGCTAAATAATAAGCACAGAGAGTCCTTAATAGACCCTTGGGTCATAATGGCGCTGGTGTTTAAATCTAATTTGCATCCCGTTTAATCAAAAGAACAGCATGTGCTGATGTTCCCTACCATCAGACGACGCAATAGCGAAGAAATGAAAATGTTTGGCTCGTGCTTTTAAGACTGGTTTCGCTTAAACTGCTTGTTTTCAATTAGTGTCATGGCACGGTAACGCTCTATTTTGATGCAGGTCAGGAATTAAGCTAAGCCTCTTTTTGGAGCTGTCAGGCCACCAGTGCATTTGTCTTCCTGTGTCAGTTGGCAGATCCCTTCCCCGAGCCATTTTTGTCATTCATCAAGCCCATTACTGGCCTAACCCTTCCAGGCATGCAGAAACGAATGGTCTAATCCCTTCATTCTCACAAAAACAAGATTAGCTGGAGGTTAAACACTCGTGTTCTTTAAATTTTGTCCTTGACAGGGTGCCAGGGGAAAGCTCTTAATCTCGTGAAGGAGCAGTTGGAGGGAGCTTTGTGTGCATACAAAAGTAGAC